CCCTTATAGAACTATGTCAGATTCAGTCTGCTGTCATCTCTTTTCCTGTCAGACTGACAAAAGTGTAGGAGGGAGCAGACAAGGATTTCAACAGCAGAGTTAAGACACCCTCTGGTTCTTGTGAATCATTTTTCATGTACTTCTGTCTGAGGTATAGTGGCAACCTTACAAGCCAGAAGCTTCTCAAGCATATCCCATACTATGTCCCAGAAAAACAGGATGTCTATTTTCAGTTGTTCCATGAACTATCCCATGTGCCTTTCACTACCAAAATTTGGTCTTGCAGTTTACTTTCAGGGTGATTTTATGCAATGTTAGAGGAATAAATTGGATGATTTCAAGGCTTTTCCCAGTTCTAGCTGTCTTCCAAACCTATACACTGAATGAAGGATGTGCTTTTTCTGCACTTGTGCAGACACATTTTATACATCTTAATGTTAGTTTAAATCGTGTTACATACATTACTTTTTTGTGCTGATAGTAGAAAATCTAGAATCAGCCAAGCAAAATCTCACAGACTTCATCCTGCTTCTGGCAATCCTCAGGCTTCAAGAGAAAATTGAATACAACAGAAAATCCTTTTATGCATCTACTCATTCCTGCAATAGCATCAGTAGCAGATAGCTACCTTCCTGTCCCTCCGTATCTGCATGCACACCTAGTTTTCAGTTATTTCTATTACTGTGTAAGACTGCAGAGCTACATTCATAATATAACAAGTGTCTTTAAATTTTCCAATCGGGTATGCATCTGCAAGTAAACATAGGGTAGCTCCTTTACTTTTCATCTTTGCACGCTAATCTATTGTACAAATGTTTAAATGGAGCATGTCAACCCTTGTTGATAAATTCATGGAAGAAATATCATCTGTAGACAATGAATAATGTCTGTTTCATGCATTTGTGCCCCACATTCTACCATACATTTGGAGGCGGTGAAGACATCATATGGATTAAGTTAGTAACACTCATCCTCACATTTTCAGGGAGTGCTTCTCCTTAAATCGTATCTCTTTGGATCCTGACAGTCTTTCACACCTAGTCTTATTTCATGCTGGAACTTTCCAGGGACACATTAGTCGTGCTTCACAAATCACCATGCTTGCTAGTGAATGAAACACCCTAACCAAGCATTACTTAAATCCTTGAAGGAGCTGGGAATATTTTACATGTCTGTTGGTGGTAAGCTAAAAGGCCTCTTGTTCAGGCTTTTGCCATATGTTTTGCTCTTAAAGCAAGTATCTTAATAAGGCAGTCACAGAAGATTTTGATTAGTGTAAGTTTCCCATGATATCTTTATCTTATGGTATCTTTCCTTTACATTTATCAGGAGGCACTATTTTTCTTAATCTAAGAAGTACTAGTTAGGGATTCTAATAGGTATTTTTTACCTAATTGCTTTCTTATTTTAGTTAGCAAAATGTATCTCTTCTCCCCAGTTTAATATGTTAATATCTAGTATAGAAAATGCATATTAGCAGTAAGTGTCTCTCATACATAAATAGAATATAACTTGCCTGAATCAAAGATCAGACACATATGATTATCTAAATAGTGCAAACTAAACTACCTCTCTAAAAAAAAGGCTTTTGTGAGTCAAAGTATGACATCTTTAGTCTGTCATTAACTTTGAAATAAACTCTGAAAACAGCAGAAAATCAAGAGCAGAACTCTTAGAGTCAAGTCTTTTGCAGAAGGACATGACAACTTACTTCACCTCTGATAGTTTACTACCATCCTGGTGGCCATATAATTCTGAAAACACTTTTGAGACTTTTGTCTGTATTGTTGTGGGCCTTCAAAGAACTGGGTTCTGAAATACATCATCCAGCCTACCTGCTGGCTTCATAATGCAAGTGGAATAAACCCAGGCAACAGCAACCAGCAGATATTCAAAATAATGTTCTCAGGTAATAACCCAGCAGAGCATGAGACAAGAGCCAGGCTGAAGCAAGTCTTACCAGCTCTGAAAACACTGAAATTGATAATGTTTACAAGCATATTTGGCCAGGAGCCTGTTTATTCCAGATGATCGTGTTTGACTGCCTTTTCCAGAAGACCTGACTCCTGAAGTGTCGGAAGCAGTGCAGGGCAATAGTGTTGTAATAAGGATGCAGATGGACTTTGTGAATCTTTTGCTAGTGACAGAACGTCCCACCATGAGATGGTCCATCCTGACGTAAAGGAATTAGCCTGGGAGAACTCTGGCTAACTTGACCTAAATTTTCCAGCTTCTTCTACAGTTTCTGAGAGGTCTGTACAGAAAGCGGAGGTTTGAGGGTGTTTTTCTGAAGAGTGCAACCTCTATTCCTCAGTACAAGGTACATCAGCTGGCTGTTGTTGGTACAAACTTCCTAAATGAGGACAGAAGGTGTTTTAAGCTCCCTCAGTTCTTGGAGGAGAAAGATAAATACCTCAAGAGGGCAGTAAATCTTATCTGAAGACAGGAAAACTCTGGAGCTCTTTTTCTACTAACCATGAAGGCAGACTACCAGCTTACAACAGATAGCTATGTTTTAGACAGCTAAACATAAAATGCATTTGGCCCATGTCCCATTGTGCACCCACGCCAGACAGAAGGGGCAAAAGGGCTGTTTCCAAGTGAGCATCCTCACCCTAGCTTCTGCATCCAGGCAAGGACAACTTGAAGGCAGACAATGCTTTAGCCTTCCAGTTAAGTCAGTTCTCACCATTTTCCTGTGAAATTGTTCTATCTCTGAAGGCAAATACAGAACAAAACAATATGGAAACCATGCAAAAACAGGGAGATAAACCTCTGGTATGCCCAGAGTTAAATAAGTTGTCTTACCTTGAAAAAGGCTCAGGTAGATGGATTTTAGCAATTAAAACTCTCCCCTTTAATGTGACAGGGTGTGAAGGAAGTGAAGGAACAGCTACATTCCCCACACTGGATAAATAATAATGTTCTTCAAACCTATAAGGATCTTTCAGTCTTACCCATTTAAATAGAACAGCCCACATGCCTAAGCCTGTGAGCTAGGAAGCATATCATCACCATGGTCTTGATAGTGTTAAGCTGAGAAAATAGGACAGACATGCAGGTAACGAGCCCAGTAAAACAAATGACTAAGAAGAAAGAACAAATCAGTGCTACTTCATTGAGAAGCCTGGATGTTGCAGAAATATGCTTTGGGCTGTTTGGTGTGTAAACTTCGTGGTCATTATGAACTAACACACAGCCTAACTTTCTGTCTACCCTTAAACATGTTCTTTGTCACCGTAACAAAAGCCACAGCTGTAAACAGTTTATGGTGCAACTGCTTGAACAACAGCCATCGGAATAAAAGTAAGATGAGCCTGCCTTTGTTGTCTCAACAGCCCTCACCTTTGCTACAAAAATGCTTTTTAACTGACTGCAAACGGGCTTCTTCACAAGTGTTTCTAATTCAGCTAAACATCTTGATAGGAAATGTCATAAATTATATGTATGGGACTGTCAGTAGAATTTTCAACAGACGTAACATGAGTTCATATTGAAATGAGAACCTTGGACAAATTTCTGAGCCTATAAATGTTCAACTTCACCTACAATCCCACTGACAAAGATGCTTGGGAAATCTTTGATGATTCCAGCTAACATGTGATTGGTGAGAAAGTGAGACTCAGGCTGTAATTTCCCTACATCTTCGACTGCAATCTTCCTGCATTTCCCACAAGTGATTCCACTTAAACATTTCAGAAGTGATAAAAAGTATCACAAATGAACTATTGTGTCCATTTCCTGAATACTCATTTCAGGCGGGGAAAAAAAAAAGAATTCTCTTTGCACTTTGATATTTATTTCCAGGTGTATTTATTTCTCTGGTAGGCATTTGAGATCTGGGTGCTGAAAAGACACATGCGCATACTTAAAGTTATATATGTGAATACCACCATTGATCTCAGCAGGACTGCTCTTTGTCTGAAGTCAGTGAGACTACTCATGTCTGAAATTGGGCAAGTAAATTAAACCTTTTCACGATCAGGGTTAAAGCAAAATTTTCTTTTCCCTCAACAGTGGCAAATGAAAACCATAAAGGAAATGCTTTTCAGAACTAGCATTTTCTTCTCTTGACACTTATTATTAATAAGGCTATCTCTGTTCAGAAATTAATTGTGCTCTGTTTTCCTGCACCTTTAAAATTTCCTATTGGAATCTTTGTAAAATCAGGATCTTCCTCTAGTAACTTTAAAGTATTGTAATATGTAGTCACATTGTGGAGGTGTTGATTAGTTTCCTGAGCAGTTAAATGTATCTACCGCATGTGGTTCTTTTCTATTTTATGGGATTCATATGCCACACTACTCAGTTTTATGCCTCTGGTTCTATGTTAAGGAGTGTGATTAACATCTATCATTGTCAAATTTGCATTGAAATAGAAACCACTGCTTTGAAGCATCATGGAGTTGAACTCCATGTTCTGGAACTGATGTGATTCTACACACACCACTCATCCTAGCATGGTTTCAGGTTAAGGCCAGTTGCTGCATATCTATAACTCACACTTTTATCCACCCTTTTGACCTCTCTGGAGTACTCCTTCAAATATCCACTTTTATACTTCATCTTGTTAGTCAGCTAAGCATTCTCAACAAGTACAGCTGGACTTTAGCACTTGCTGCTTTTCCATCCCAAAGCATATAAACAGCAATAAATACAAAAACAATTAGGCAACATACTTCAGCCAAAGTGTTGCTTATATTAAACAGAAGGAACAAGACTGAAGGAAAATGAGGTTATAAAACCACAAAAATCTGTACTCCTGTTCATCTTCAACTAAGATGGGATACTCAAGGAAAAGCCTGGTTTCTTCTGATCGTAAAGAAATGTGAGAAACAATTCCACAATAGTCCTGTGGGTCAAATGAGATGGTTTTGCCATCTGTTGTCCTTTTCATGTGTTGCTTCTCATAAAGCTACATTCAGTGATAGTCAAAGAAGCAGGACTTCCTCAAATAATAGCTCATATATGGCCATTTACATTTTAGAACTATTTAACCCTAAGGTGTCCTACCTCCGTTCTGTATTCCCGAGGAAGGTTTCCTGCTCGTTCTATGGGGAGCCAGCAGTTAAATGTGAATGAGAATCATCCCAGTAATCAAAACACAAGTCAATATTAACAAAGTAAGCAGTACAGTCCAAATACATGTTTATGTATATACATCTTTATATATCGTTCTGTGGATTCTAACACTAATCCTAAATTCGTACACTTTCTTGCCATCCAAAAGAGTTTCCTTCTCCTGTGTTCACAGAGAAATACTATCAACTGCATAATAAACTCATGATGGCATTCTTTAGGAGTGACTGAAATTGAATGCTCAAAACCCATAGATAAATTGCATGAGATCCATTGCTGTGAAATTGCTGAATCAGATGCCAGCCATAGAAATGCCTCCATTTCACAAGAAAAGAGCCTGAATAGCATTTTCTTGCCAATCTGGCAATACTCAGCCTGAACTGATACTTTCAAAGCTGTGACTTTATTTCCTGGCAAATAATATTCAGAGAGATCCCAAATTATTTACTACAATGGGCTTATTAAAAAAAAAAAAAATCTCGACAAGCAGTACTAGACAGAAAACGCAAACTGTTTTCAGCCCAGTTCCTGGGGAAATAAACGTCCTTGTGCATACATCTGTTCACATTCCTGTTTGTACCTCTGAGTCCTGATGCTGTGCCATTGCTTGTCAGTTTTAACCCATGTGCAAAGGGCATAGTGCAAAATACTTTTATGCATTTACGGAAGAGATACAGTTCAATAAAGAGGAGAAAGCAATGAGAAGAGGCTACAGGCTGTACTTAGCCCTGATTTGTTCTCAGAGAGTCCACATGGGTGAAAGATACCGTGAACATACCAAAGACAGGAAAATCCTTGATCAGTGTTACACTTCAGAAGACATCAGACAACCAGGCTTCAGGGCATAAATTGACAGAAGCCCAGTCCTATTTTTCCTGTTCCACCTGGAACTAGTTATTGATCCATCCATTAGCTGTCATCAGAAGTACTGATCACTAGCATCAGGTTCACTGCTTATAGAGGCACATACAAAGTGACTCACTAGTTAATGGTTGGGAATACACTTGTATACAGTCAGTATTTAAATGCTGCTATGATGTTATTGGTAAAAATAGTCATAAGAGTACTTCAGAATTGCATATTTATTTGCTTTGCCCCACAGATTACAAAAAGGATTCAGAAAATGCATAAACATGTTTACTTCTCTTTCACAGATGAGACAAATGGGGCATGGGGTGGCAGTGATGTGTAGAGGTGAAAAGACATCCCAGATTCCTCTAGCTCCCACACTGCTTTCTAATTATTTGGTTATGTCACCAAATGACAGAAGGTCCTTGAAGGAGCAGTTAGTAAATATACCATTACCCTAGAACCCACACTAGGAAACAGAGATCAGGGCAATTTTACTTATATCATTCAGTGTCAGAGCAAATAGTAGGAGTGGAAATGCTCACCTCTGCCTCATCTTCTAAACATTAGGCCATGCTCCTTTCTCCTTACCCATGTTCTCAGCTTTATGAATCCACTATATATAAAATTGCCAAATTACCATAAGGTTAAGTGATTCCAGGTTCATATTGCAGTACGTATTGTGGTTAGGAAAATATTTCAAATACAATTTAAACTTACAATAATTCTTCAGAACTTGTTTTTATATTTGACTGTGGCCTTTTATCTCTTCCTAGTGGAGACAGTGACCTGTCTCCCTTAACCTGCAACTGATTTGTGTGATGGCAACATTTCCAGCTGCACAAGTGCTGTAACATCTACACCTAAATTAGTTCATGAGTCAACATATCTACTTGGGTTATTACATGTATTGCATCAATTATCTACAAATGAAATACAGCTGCGTTGTCTGTTGCACCATTTTAAAACATCCATTTAATGAGCCTTAGAGCTCAAAAAGATTGGGGGCATTTGGTGACAACAAATAAAAAAGAAACCCAATCTGGTCCAGTATTATCCAGCTGTAATTTTTTTTTTTAGTGGAACCTAATCAGGTGTTTACTGTAAACATGGGCAGTACTTCTAGTTTATTTGCTAAATAGGAGTTGGACACAGGAAGCATGCCTGGGTCACAGTCAAAGGCTTTCACTTGCAAAACAAGGTCACTCCTGTCTTTGTGACAGACACTTGAATAAAAAAAGCTCCTTGTCCAGCAGTTCAAGATCAGTCTGACATTATGATGGTTCCTCCTTAATCTATTCACATTTTCTTTTACTGAACAGGGCAGCATCACCATGGCCTGGCAGTTTCCTCCATTTCTGGGAGGAGGGGGAGTGAGGGAATTGGAGGGAAAGCACAGGATCAGGGTCTGGGAAGTTGTGTCCATATTTTCAGAAGTTGAAAGAATCTCCAGAGAGCTCCCAAATTGCCTGTATACTTTTTTATGTGCAGCATGTCGGGCACCTGTTTTCAATTGCATCTTCAGATCAGAAGATCCTCCTGCTTGGGCTCTGCAAGCCTGGCCATAGCATATAAAACGTCCCCTGCATATGGCTGTCATTTCAGTTTTCCTTGCAAATGATTTCTGTTCCATGTGTAGGTGAGAGGCTTGTTTGAGGCCTGCTTACATCATACGTATGGAACTTGATCCCCACTGTAGGAAATGTGTACGGAGGGCATTTGTTTAAACTTCTGGTCAGTGGGGGTCATTCTCATTGTAAATGGATTTTCACTCATAAACTATGTGAGATTAGTTTAAGTCCTCACTGGAGACCCCAGCTTTGCAGAAATCGTGGCACATGAAAGCAAGAAGACTTCTTGTTCGAGCTTGTCCACATGCAACTTCCAGATGCCAGCACATGGGCCAGCAGACTTTGTACAACTATCTATCACAGCTGCAGCAACGAGGGCTGTGGAAACCACATTACAAGAAACTGTGGTTAACCTGTTCCTGGGAAATAGATCTTTCAAATAAGAAGTGGCATCACTAGAAAGAAATTGACCTTTCCGCTCACATGAAGGTGGCCTTACTGCCTCTTATTTTGTAAATCCTAATGTTGGACCTGGAGATGGAGCCATACTGTGGAGTTAAAACCCGAGTGCAGTTTCAAACACCCGTGTCTGTGGGAATCTCAAGGCCAGTGCTAGACCAATTTCAAGCCTGAGGTGTAGTTTGGGAATGAAGGTCAGTTGGCTAAAGGAGGTGGAAGGGGAAGAAGCAGGAACAAAAAACCTTTAAGAGAAATGGGTAAACGGTAGGTTAAACAGGATGTTTATTCACAAAACATTACAATAAAAAATAAACTTGCCTGAGGAAGCAAGTTAGCACTCCTCTTCCCCCCAGTATAGTTCATAAGACTGAAAAGTGACCAGAGAAGATGTGGGAGCCTCAGTGAACAAAGAAACATCTGCTTCTTCCTGGTGTGGCTGCCCATGGACACTCAATGGCTGCCCAGCACCATCAACCTTCGGCAGCACCCCAGAACCTACAGACTGTCCAGGGCAAGACTGGTGCTGTGGTGCCGAGAAGCCATGGTTGGAGGATGCACTGAAGCCTCCTCATGGGTCTCAGAGACCTCAGAACCCATGCTGCAGAGCAGGTGCCTCCAAGGCAGACATCTCCATGCTGCTAGAAGCCACCCTTGTCACAATGTCTGCCCATCCAGTAGCTGAACTGGCTTCTTGTAAACAGCCTTTTTTAACTAAAAAAGCCACAAGCTGGTACTGTCAGTGAGCAGTGTGGTTGAAAAACAGGTTGGGAGAGAGAAGTACAAGAGAAGTCAGGTGTCACCCTCCAAAGTTACCAGCACAGGAGGCCACTTCGGTGGCTCTCTCTGTGAGACAGATACAGGGCTTCCCACAGCCTCTCTGGCTCTCCCCACCTGCCCCACGGGGCACCAGACCTCGGTGGGGACCCCAGGACCACAGCAGGGCCCCTGTCCTCCTCCAGATGCCTGTGGTGCCCAGGAAGGGGAACTGCACCATGAGGCCTGGGGCTGGCCGTTTGCACATGGAGGAGCTGGTGAAGGCTGCTCTCTCTGGAACTTGGGTGAAGTTTTGGTTTATAATGCCAAAACATCCTTGTTGTTTACATTCCTCTGGACAAAGGCTTTTACACTTGAGACCCCCAGTGTTTTCCTTCCCATTATCATCATTACAGAGCATGTAACCCCCCTTCTCTTTTTTTTTCTGCCTTCATTTGATCTGTCATCAAGGAGCTGTTTTCTTTGCTCCACTGGCCGCTGTGCCCTTCCCAGCTCTGGCCATCTCTGGGAAACACACACAGGCACACATGGCCTTTACTGTAGGGTATCCCTCAAAGCGATGAAAAAAAACAAGATCAAAAAGTCACAAGTGTAGCAGATGTCAAGTGGTCCCTCAAGACCTCTATTTAACCCCTTCTTTAGGCTTTGCAGGACCTTGACAAGAAATCAATCAGAAGGAAAAACAAAGCTTTTCTAAAAATTTGCTGTGTTTTATTATAAATCAGGGCTCATTTTATACGTTCTAATGCCCCTGCTTGACTGCAGGAAACATTTAATGAAGCCAGAGCTGGCTTTAAACCCTGGCTATGAACCCACTTACTACTAATTGGGGTTGTTTATGACTTTCTGTAATAATGTTTGACATTGCAAACTGTGAATACTTTTTACAGTACTTCCTTCTCTTCCTACCCCTGAAATGTCATCTAAAACCAGGTGTATGAAATATCTGTACAGCAGTTAAGCAATCAATGCCTCTTATCTAAATGACAGAGATGTATGGGGCATTTAAAACCTAATGATTATAAATGGAGGAGAAAATAAGTGTGGAGGAACTTTTCCATCCTTTTTCCCTAAGTACAGTATGCCTCGCAAATTTATCATATTCTCCACAAGCCACCTCAGGATTGCCTGCAACTCCTTACACAATGAAAAATTGCAAACCATTTTGCAGACGGAAAATATCTTCTCAAATTGCAGCTTTGTCTACAGTTTGGGGAATACTGCCCAGGTTAAAACTGAAAAAAAAAATTGTAACACAAAACATTAAGTCAGCCTGAAAAGGCAGAAAACTCTGAAACAGTTTGTTGGAGCAAACCATTAAAAGACAATTTTCCTGTGAGCACAGTGGGCTTTCAAGGCCCTCTGAAGTCTGAAGGGCAGAGGGGGTAGGGTCTGCCTATGTGTTTTATTCTGTGTCAGTTTTGGTTTTCAGCTGCTGGTTCAGTTCTGAAATCAGTTCTATCCTGGCAGACCTTTTCACCTAGGCAGAGATCCTATGAGGGCTTTTCATCTCTGCACAAGACGTAACTCCCCCAGTTAGATCAGATTGCAGGATCAGGGCCTAAGCATGAATACATCCAGTCCTTGCAGGAAATGCTTGACTCAGCCAAAGAAGTGTAACTCAAGAAAAAACACTCTACTTCATATGGAAAAAAACAACTTCACTGAATATATTTGCCTCCAGCATTCTGCTGGCTAGAAAGGTGACATTTGTTCCTTCCTTCAACAGGAAAAGGTGACATTCACTCTTTCTCTGACATGCCAATCCTCTGCCAGGATAATTTTGGAAAAGTAAAAGTACAATTGAATTCTGTGCAGGCACAGAGGTCTGTAATTATGGTTCTTCATGCATGACTGGGATCTTTATTGTGTATGATGCAGTTTGATCTTTATCTGCCCGATTACAGGCACAAGGAGAACAGGGGCATGACCTTCACCTCTACCTCACCACCTCCAGCAGTGTGGGGAGTTTCAGCCCATGGTCCATCTTATTACTGACAATCTAGCCACTTTCCAAGCCACAATAATGAAAGTTTCTGTCCAGAGGCCGCAGCACATGTACAGTTTACCTGTTCATGCATCACAGCCATACGCCCTTGAAGGACCTCAGCCGCACCAATACATACAAACCAGATACATACAAACAGCAGGTTCAATCCCAGATCTATCATTTACTAATTGATTACAGTACTTAACCTCATTTGCATCTGAATTTCACTCTTGATATCAGAAACTGAAACAGAGTCCGGCACTGGGGTTTTCTCCAATTGGACTCTGACAGGCCTCCTAGATTGAATCCTCTCCCCTTATTTTTTTCCTCTTAATTGATGTCCTCCACTGAGGTTTGCCTTTCCTGCTGATTGAGGAGAATAAATTTCACACAACAAGGAATGTGCTAGAAGAGGCATCCAGCTACCGGACTGAAGGAAGAAACCCAGAACATGTGAGGTAGAAAGGACTAGATCCAGCACCATGGACTCAAAACACCAGAGGACACAGGATAACGTGTAAAATGGTCACTTTTTTGTGTGTCACTGTTGACACACAAAATTTGAGCTGGACTTTTATAACACACTACAAAAGCAGACACCATGCTCAAGCGCACATAGAATGGTGTATACCTCTGTGAACATCCAACTTTGCACGATTTCCAGGCCATGGTTGGCAGTACTCAGACAGTCTAGGTATCTAAGCATGTGGCTGCAGACTCACTGGGATTTTCAAAAAAGTCTAAGCAGAACAGATGTCTGGCATCAATTTATCATGTTGTTGTGTTCAGCTTCTCATTTCTCCTGCAGAAAAGTTCAGAAGCATCTATCTATTTCCTAAAATGTCTAAATACCTTTGAAAGTCTGGCACTTACTTCTGAGATCTGTGGAACATTGCCCCATTACATACTCATCTGAGTGCATTCAAAATATTTCTAGCTCAGACAAACAAGGCCAAATCTATTTTTTAATATTATTTTTTTTTAAATCTGAAAAACAGCTGAAGCGCAGTTGGGATTCTCAGTTCAATGCTTCATGTAGCCTTATATATTATTCACTTAGTTCCTGTAACTAAGGAGTTTCTTTCTGTGTCATTTATAGATAAAATACTATCAAGACAAGCCAGCTCCTCTTTATTCTTGATGTCTGAAGAGGGTAAAAATATAGTGCAGATGAAATTAATCTTTTTAAAAGCAGTTCACCTTTCTCTCTAAGTACCTCCACTATAGCATAAGGAAAAAGAAATAGCTTTCTCCAGTGCTACAGGATTTCTCTCTTTAATCCAAAGCATTTGATGGCTGATCATTAATAACATGTTTGTCAGTAACTACATTCTGCTTCAAACACCATTCTTTGAACTGGAGTATCATATTTGGGTACATTGCAAGTCCACAGTGATTTTTACAGAGCGTTTTATTTTACCTTTTCCTTGTGTCAAGAGATTCAAGTTACATATGAACTGACAGGCAGATGCAATAGATCCTCTACAAAGGATGATGGTAGGCAATGGGGTTTGTAACATTTCAAAATGGACTGCCATATTTCAAGTGTCTAACCTGGTGATGAATCTGCTGTCTTTTACTGTTAAATGCTTTGGTTTCTGCCTTCAGAAATGGTTTTTTATTTTGGCCTTGTCATGAAATAAAAGGAATGACCAGTTTTGCTTTTATTAAAATTCATGCCAAAACTATAACAGACTTCAGCACAAGCAGGACAAAACCCAAAATAAACCTATGAAATCATGTCATATGGCAACCTAGTCATAACCTGGAAGAGATCTCATTGTCGTGAACATCTTCCACAGCTGTCAAAGTCTGTAAGAATGTCTAAATGATTATGTCTGGCAGCTGAAAAGCAGCAAATAAATATTTAAGAGTTTAAGGAGATGTAGGGGTTTGTGCCAGACCCAGACAGGGTATCAGTCTTTGATCTTTGACAGAAAAGAATTCTTCTGCGTTTGGGGGGGGAGGGGGGGGGGATATAAAAGTATGAAATTTTACAAAGATTTCAGAGCTTTGGGATTGTTTTGGTTTGTCTAATGTCTCTGATACTGGCATACAAAATTCAGAGAAATGACAGATTGATGGTCATCACAAATATCAAAGAATATCACCTGCTGGCCCAAATATAGCATACCCTTATGGTATCAGATTCTTCGTGTGCTTTTTATTATGGTTTACTTAAAAAGGTCAGGGTAGACTGAGAATCCCAATGAAATTCAATCTCTCAATTTAATAAGGAATCTAGTAAGATGTCCTGAATAGGATAAGAAAACTGTATTTTGAGGACTGGAGTAATCCCAAGGGAGTCTTATCCTAGACACAGATTAAATACAACAGACCAAATACTTTATTTATAATGAAGCAGTGTTTTACTTCTCTTTTTTAATTACAATTCTATTTTTCAACTTTTCAAGGAGAAATATACAGAACATAGGCTTTGTGAATGGCACCATAAAGAAACAGTGGTAAACTGTCTTTGAACAATGTTTTATGTGTAAAAATAATGATAATAATTAGAAGAAAGTCTAAACTCAGAAGCACAGAAGCCTTGAACAAAAAAAGGCATGTCTACTAGTAGCAATTTATTTGCCCACATATCTCCTCTGTAAGGTATATGAGGAAGGTGGGAATATGATCTCATTGAAGAATGAATGGTTTCCTCATCCCAGTTCCCATTAGCATACAAACCATAACCTCACATTTCAGAATATCAGATTCAGTCCCACAGAACAATATGTCACACCATATATCTTTGTCAACTCCTCTTTTCCAGAATGCCAAGAAGCTGTCCTGTTTAACACTGTGACAAGATAATAGCCTCATATACTTTTCCCCTACCTCTGATGGAGGTGCTTGCCCTTCAAAGATTATTGGCTTTTTAATGTATATACGCAAATAGCTGAAAAGAAAGCAGTCTAAGACAAACGTCTCCTGACTCTTAAATAACATTTCTGCTGGGGGGGGGGAGGAAAAGGGGTTTTGGTTACCGTAATACTTGCTTTTCTTCACCTGGGACAATGTCACTGCTGAGGCTGGAAAGAGGACTTCTTTCAGAGGTAT